CTTTGCCTATGTATTGCATTTTATATGCGTATGCAATGTGCAGTGTGCAACACTAGGTCTTTTTTACATCTTTTGCTGCTAAAAGCTGCGGATGCCGATCGCACTGGAAGGTGAGCGTGTTAAACCCATCTCCGCCCAAGAACACATATCACACATTTCACGCTCTACCTACACCGGCCCGGTCGAACCATTGCGTATTAACTTTATACATATATTTTTTTTTTACCTTCAATACAGCGTTCGCAGCGTACAAGTAGTTTTATGCATGTCCAAAACTATCAAATAGGAGAAATAAGATACACAGACATATGTGGCAGGATCCAGAGTCTAACCCTTAATGTCATGGGACTGAACGGGAAGACTAACCAGGAGCCCTGAGTCATAATACCCGTAAGTGGTGTATACTTGCTGCAGGACATCCTGGGAACTGTGAAAATTAGGAGGACACTGGTGCAACGAACCTGAGGGTCCGTGTAACAGAAGGTCCGCCCTCCAATTAGTTATTAGACTGACCAAAGTGGGTCAAAATCTGGGGTGAGGCTTACCTGTACAAATTGAATGGGAAGCGGACTCTGTAACATGGGGGACTCTCTGCCGAGATCATTATCCCGGTAGACCTTTGGATATTTTATCCACAATTCCCGACCAAAGATACACAAAACTTGCCAAAATCTTAAACATTTGTGGAAAGCGAATTTTAGTATCTGATATTTTTTTTTTTAGTAAGGCCTTAAAAGGTCTTTTATTTCACACTAGGAAAAAATGAAGACTGTGCGATGGTGCCGTTTTTTAATTTTTCCACATTCTTATACAGTGTGTATGCATTCAGTCTGGATCCCCACAATTTTGGTAATGTGTCGAAGGTGTTATGAAAAATGGTTAATATTTAAAAAAATGTGCTAGTTGTACATGTTAGCTTTAAACAATAACATTTATAAATGTACACACTGCATCGTATAATAAGATAAATTGCATAAATAAAATCGTTACGAAAAAAGGTGAAAAGTGTATTTAATTTTTTTTCACTCAAAGTCCAACATTGTAAAGGTAACTAAGATAAATTGTCCCTGTCGCCAAGAGCCAACTCTCAAGCACTGTCATGCCTTTGGGCGGGGGAGGCTTAAGTTGTGCTGATTGTCACATGATAAAAATGAATTAGGGTGAATGAGGCTTCTTACATTTAGCGCACCTTCCTGAGGAAGGGATATAGACGAAACGTCGGAGCCCATATCATCTGCTGTCTGTGAGAGTCCAGTATTCTAGATTTTACTGGTTTTATCAAAACTGCAGGATGGATGAAAGAACATACATTGTTTTAGGCACCTCTGCACGTCGTGGCTGAAGGTAAATAGTTGCTTTTTGATATTCATTTTTATTTTGTGACAAGTAATTACGCTGAAGTATGCTCATTTACTAGTCCCATTCTTATTTAGCGTGGTCAGGGAACAAGGTAAAATTTACATATACTGTATTTTCGAAGGAAAACGCACGTTGTAGCCACGATACTAGGTTGTCCATCTCCCAAACTGGAAATAAAGTAGATTGTACCGCTAGATATGAAAAGGGCTTAAGCGATACGCGATATGTTTTAAGAGGTTCTACCGTGTGATTACGCAAAGGGACTCCACACCTTTTCACCAGTTTTCCGCCAGTTCGTTTGTCGCTGTTAATCATTAAGTAAGGCGGAAGTTAACACAAGTCTGTGCTATAAATCTTTATATATGCGAGAATCCCCGAAGGTAAAATAAGGCTCTATGCAGTACATGCATTACTGCTGTACATATGAATTCTGATTTGCATGTTATTTATGCATCGACCGATGAACCCCTCATGCACAGGATTATATGGTATGTTTTGCATTGGGCTTTTGAACAATAAATGTTAAAGATTTCATTCTTAAAGATCGAATTTTATAATTCCGCTTTACATTTCATTTTCAATTTCTCAAAGATTGATGTCATTTGTTATTATTTTAGTATCAATTATATTTCAGTAAAACACACCCCTTGAGAATGGTTCTTGGTTAATAGAGGAAAGCAGAATCCAGCCATCATAAAACAGAAAACAAATCAATAAACCAGAGCAGTTACTTCATACCTTATTTCATTAATTGATTTGTGTAAACTATGCGTGTGACAGATGTACGTTCTTCGCTGTAACACCTTGCCAACACCATGGCGTCATATTGAAGAACACAGCCAGATATGTTCACACGTGGGGATTGACAAGTTAATCAAAACCTGCATTACCGCCTTCCCCTCTCTTAACTTGTATATTGCAAGGACAGGGACAATCCAAGTGTTATGCAGATGGTGATTGGCGGATAATTCACTCATCGTAAATAATGGATGATTCTTTACAAGGTGCTATGAAACATTATACACACTAAAATTTGACGTTGTGAAAATCTTCCGAACATTCCATAATATCGACTAACAATAATTCAGAGTTTCGTGAAAATGACGTCATTGAAAGAAGGCATTATGGTAACCATGGTGATTTGTATAATGATCGCAACGTCGACTTTGATCATCATGTATGACGTGGACGTTACAAACATTGCTCGACTGAGAAAATATGTATCTGTGTCTTCCATATTCAGATATAACGGAACAAAGTTCACTCTGGGTGTGAATGCCACGAACACAAAACAAATATCTATCGGTATAGGTTGTGCTATCAGTACCAAGGGATTTAAACCATCCTCAGTTTTGTCCACACTTCCAGTTTTTACAACGATGATGCCAAGTTTCTGTGAGACAGTTTCGGAAGGTTACTCCTATCATTTCTATATTAGCTACGATTACACGGATGCTTTCTTCAAAGATCAAAATTCGCGAGATACTTTCAAAGCTAAATTTTTCGACATGGTCGGAAAGCTTTGCTCATCGTCTATACTTATATATCTGCATTTTGTTCGCTGCCCATTCGAGGGTTCACCTGCGCATGCTCAGAATTACGCAATAATGGCGGCGTACAATGACTCAATCGACTACCTTTACCGAATTAATGATGATACAAAAATGGTGACAAAGTCATGGACCGAAACATTTATCGCTGAACTCTCCAAGTTCAGTCCACCAAATGTTGGCGTTGTCGGACCTAATCATCGAGGAGGAAACTCACAAATTTTGACGTACGATTTCGTTCACAGGACACATATTGACATATTTGGGTTTCATTACCCTGCTGTTTTTACAGGCTGGTTTGCCGACAATTGGATAACAGCGGTTTATAAACCAAATAGATCTAAGAAAATTGCCAACATAAGGGTTATACATACCATGGCAGCGGGCACCCGATATAACGTGAGAGCAGATTTGATAAAAAAATTCAAAGGTCAGCTGGAACACGACAAAAAGACACTGAACTCATGGTTAAAGAAAAACAAAGAAAACCAACTGTGATTTATACTGGATTATTAACTTCTTGTGTGTCCAACAAAGTAGCACTTTAAAAGGATTTGTTCTGTATTGATGACCGTATATGAGCATCATCATAAACGGGATTCTGTGGACATCGTGTGAGAAGAATTATATACATTTACTAGCAACACAAAGGGAAAGTATCGTTCACACTTTTTACTTGACTATTTTGATATTAAGCTATTTATTTGCTATATATTTATTACTTTTTGAAAACAAACAGAGGTATAAGATAAAGCATTCACAGGAAACAATATGGTAATTTTACATGAACAAAAGCTGAATAAATTATTATAATGACCACCAGCAGACAGTGAGTTGATTACTGAATTATGTATACATACTATACGTATCACTGTAGAAAATTATAAACATCTAAAATGTGATGTTCAAGGGACTGGAAACTCCCTTTGAAAATAGAGTGCAGTCTCCCCACCACAGATACGCAAAATTTACCAAATTTGGAAAACATAGTAAAATGCATATTTTGTTAGCCTCTTTCAATTTCTTTTAGCAAAAACATTGTTAGATTTTTCGCGCCTGGATAATTATATACTTCTAACAATCAATACAACAGTAATAATATATGTCAGCATAGAATCGTTTAATTGTTTAACAAGAAGGATAAGTAGGATAATGTGGCCCGAAATTTCGAGAGACAATTTCGCCTGTAAATTATTTGACATGGTCAAACAGCATTGCCCATCGTCTATACTTGTATATCTGCGTTTTTTTTCGCTGCCTATTCGAGGGTGCTCCAGCGCGAGCTCAGAGGTATGCAATAATGGCGGCGTACAATTACTCAATGGCCTATCTTTACAGGATTAATGACGACACATCGTAATCGTAATGGTTACAAAGTCATGGACCGTAACATTTATCAATGAGCTATCGAAGGTCAGTCCACAAAGTGTTGGTGTTGTCGGACCAAATCACCGAGGAGGAAACACAGCTATTTTGACGTATAGGAATACACAGTGGTTGCTGGTACCAGCTAGTGTTAAAAAAAATAACGGACCTACCACAGAGCAGTATTCCTGAAATTGTGCCGAGTAGGAGAGTCCCCTTGAGACACGCCTAGTTCCCTTTACTTTAAACAGGGAGCTTACGTCATGCTTACTCTATCATGTATGAATCTAATGATATGCGGATTCTGTTTCAAGGACCCTCAGCTTTTGTTCAGCAGTCTCAAATGTATCAATTGTTTTCCCAGCGCTACTGAAACCATTCTTTTATATAGTTTTATATTTATATAAGAAGTTTACAGAAGTTAACAAAAGACGCAGAACTAGGAAAATAGCATACGCGCCGTGCCTTTATTTTGAATAAATTGGCAAATCACCTGAATTATCGAGACCGTTTCTTATTAAAAAACAAAAAGTTAGATATACTACTACAATTTTTTCAAGCTGTGTAAGTTTTCATTTCTCAATCAAAATAGAGAAAAAGATAAAAATATCCTGGTAAATAGTTGAACATCCTTCCGAAGCCGATCGTATTCACAGTGAATTACATGGTGTCTATGTAATAGCTGTTTTCTCAAAGGCCGTCACGTTCTGTACATTTTATATGTAATCATTTCCACTTGCAGGCTCCTTCTCGGACCTCCAAATTATCCACAGCTACATTATAGGGGTATAGCACACCGGTCGTTGTTTCTATATAAAACTGAAATCGGGAAAGAGTGGTTTTAATTGTCAAAAGTATCGTTGTTGATATACATGTATAGTTTGTGGGCGGAGTGTGTTTGACATTAAAATTATATATAAGCATAAAATATTAGTCTTATTTAGTAACTTAGATGTGTCGCATGTGGTGACAAATGATCCTACGGTAACATAGACTGGGTTCCCATACCTAGATAGATCTAACAGAATCAATCTATCACCAAGCAGTTCCTCTCTAAATTGTTTCAGCTTAAGCGGCTTAGTTGTGTGGCACGCCTACTGAAGCTGCTGAACGATAATTAATTACTTCAACAGCTTTAGTATGCGTGACAGACATCTAAGCCGCTTAGGTTGATTGCAATTTAGTGAGAATCGCCCTGGAGATAGATCAATCCACAGCTAGTTCGATACCGTCTGGGAATGGTCCCATATAAAATCGTAATATTTAGAATAGTGATATTGTTCTCCTCGGGAAGCTGTTGAAGCTGTTGAATATCGTACCGGTAATTGAAAGTTTTAGATTGAGCAAGTAGAGCTAATTTAAAACTTCTAAAAACAAATGTTGTTGTAATATAATTCATTCGGTAGGCTACGCGTTTTATTGCCAAGGCAAGTAATGGCATCAAAATCTTTTAATTATCTGTTACGTACATGTGACTCTCTATAAAGTCGCCATGATTTTCAGAGTATTCATTATAAGACTTTCGCCTTATATTGCAAAGTATTTCATCACAAAAAACACAAGATAAACAGCAAGGCATAATTACATGCTCAAATAGCAAATTCAAAGCTTAAGACATCTCTCAAGACTTAAAAGCCTTACCCGAAATGTCATGGGACTGAACAGGAAGTCGAGCGAGAACTGAGCCCGAAGCCATTCGTTACGGTTTCCCTTCACAGCTCCAAGTGGTGTATACTTGCCGCTGGACAACCTAGGAGGCATGTGGAAACGCATATACATATGTTACATATCTACAGGTGTCATGTGACTGTGGCGTTATACGCTTTGTTCTCCTTTAGGGCTTTTTTCGCTTTGTACGCCTTTAGGGTTTTTTTTTCGATGAAATGTGAGTACTTTCTTATCAGTATCCGTACGTGTGACACTGGGTCTGTGACACATTAACTCCGAGCGATAAAGGCAAGAACACTTCGAGCGTCAGTGCCAAAGGTAATCGAGGCATATATCGCTCAATGGTGGCAGTGTATATTATTTTACACACATCCAGAGAGAAAATATATCGCATTACACCGAAACATACCCCTTAAACCGATTAAAGCGTATAACGCCAGGGTTAGTGGCGGATTTAGAGAGGGGGACGGGGGTCCCTCCNAATGTAACACATCAATATTCCCCTTTTGGAATTAGAATTTTGTCGGGCTAAATCATAGTTCTAAACCGTACCAAAGGGCACTGTTTGCTCTCCAAAACACAAAAAAAAAATTCGCGGCCCTTGAGCAGGCTCCGATCCCCACACCTAGGGGGCGATGGTCGGGTTCACATCTGAGGCCTGTCGTTCCGGACCACCCCTTCAAATAATCCTGGATCCACCCCTGACGGTCACATAACAACCCCAGAACTGAATGTCTAGAAACCACACAATGGTTGAGTTAAAGTAGCCTTGGCATCCAATTCACGTTAAATTTGGAAAATAAGATTCAACGTTGAAATTCCATCACATACAAAAATGAAAAAATGTTGCAATCTCGACGGGTTGTGGCACATGATGTTATGGAAATTCAATCCTAAAATTCAAGTCCTTTACTTGAATGATAAATTTAATTTGGAAGGGTTTAATTGTTAACGGTGAACAAATAAGTAAATTAATGACTGATATATAAGGAAATCTGAAGTCGGTGCGCCAGTACCAATTAATCTACGTACTACACTGTACGTGTATCTTCCCTGTAACACTCATGCAGTACGTAATATGCGGTGATTTCACAGGGTACACATAGTTCTGTTTGGGGGAGCATGGGTCTGTAAAAATCTTTCCGTATCTCTGTAAGGCTAACACTAATATGAGTGTCGACCATTATTCATATAAAAATCGTGTAGAACAAGTAAATATAATACCTTCCAACAATCAATACCCCATTGCCATTAACGCCAGCAGAGCCACCTATCGGCGAAACCGGAAGATTCCAATTATACATGTGGTAGTGAAAACTAAGGCAGAAAAAAGATGGCCGATGGATGGTGATTTCCGGAGAAAGCAGCCTGGCTCGATGTAAAAACCACGATGCTGCAGCGTAGATGTACCTACCTTGATAATGACAATGTAAAAGTAAAGTTAGACGGTTTTAAGTCAAAGCACGTACAGTACAAGTATGTTTACGGTCTAAATCTAGTTTCAGTCAACAAAAATAACTGAGAGTCCACGCTACGAGCCAGACATGTATAGCTCAGGTGAATTACACAGGTAGATTGATCACCAAGCATCATTTAGACTAAAACACCCCACTAAACCTATTAGCTTGCTAAACTTGAATAGTCGACAGCGTAAAACCGACTTTGCGATATTGGTATAAGCGCGTAAACATACATGTAAATGTATTTTTTGACTGTGAATATTCAGTTCCTTGAAGATTTTTCTGAATTGTCTAAACATTAATTTATTTTCTAGCGGGTATCATGCCGCCTTTAAACTTTTAGATAACCATGACGTACGTACGTACCACTTCCGTTGGAACTGGCGTCTCCGTAGGGTCCTGTGAGTATTGACGGCGTGGGTCCAGAGTTAAGAATCCATTTCTGGCTTTCTCTCTCGTCCTGCGACCACCCACATAACTGTGCACCGCTGTCAAAGTCACAGGGCGGCGGAAGCCTGGGCGACTGAGGCACTGTAACACGGTAAACCAATGGGGCAATTAAATCTATTACATAGAGTATATTTACCAACATACTTTTATTTTCTGGAAATTATTTACTAGAATCATTTGCCGGAAGAAACTGCCCGCTAGCGCAAGCTGTGCATGTGCTTCGGAAATGGTCCTATGTCACACTCAAATTAGAAATCACTCTCTCGCTCTCTCCCCTACACAAATGCCTTCTAGGTTTACAGAGTATACATACAATGTGGAGATGCTCATTAGTTTCAGGTAACATCAAGAAAGATATCGCCTGTCATTAATTGCCAAGCAACTCAAAAGTGTTACTTAACATATTTTCACTCCCCGAATGAATTGACAAAGCGCATAAACAAATAATTATTTTTTACTAGGAAGATATGAACGACAGGTTACTTCTTTTTAGGTAAAACATTGGCTTCCTTACTAGATAAAAACGATGTTTATCTTTGAAATATGGAAAGAAATGCGTTACATGACTAAATAATAAAAGCACGAACAATTAATGTTTGGTAATTTAGAAGTAAAATAAACAAATAAATAGTCGCATGAGTACCATCAGGTCAAAAATGGCTGATAGTTCTAGTTTTAGCAGGCTGAGTAGGAATGCTTACATTACTGGTCTAGGGCATTCGACAAAAGGACTAATACTTACTTTCATCTTAAAATATACAAATATCGTCAGACTTACCACTTGGTTTAGCGGTAGACAAAGCTTTTATGGTGTTACTAATAAGCGTGGGTGTGGCTGTCTTGGGCGTGGTTAAAGGGGGCGTGGTCAGAGTGCATCCGGTTTCAATCCGCCAATCCGAGACGTTTGCCCCGTACAGACTGACACACTCGTTGGCCATTTTCTCCAGGAGTTTGCACGCTAGGTGTTTAGCTTTAGCTACGTCTGGTAAAGACTTTATCACCAAATCCTTGCAACCATTTCTGAAGTTTAAAACGAACGTTTATTGCTTCTCATTTACTAAAGAAAGTGACTTTGAAATACTCTATATTGATATCATACCAAAAAGCCCTCGTTTTCATTGAACAGCTTTTATAAGCACAAGGCGGATTTGCTGAGACTTTTTGTGACACAGTCGAGAAACCAGACACCAATACAAAATGTCAGTTCACACTCACAACTTATAGAGGAACGCCCATGCCAGCTGTCATACAAAACTAAACCATGCCCTTCCCAGCTGTCAGTGGCCACGCCCCTCCCCTTGCCGCCAAAATACACAGATATCCTATTCTCTTACCGCTGGGGTACCTACTAGTCTTTTACGATTTTTTTCAATTTTGTAACAGGCTTTACCAGAGACCCCTGTTACATCAGAGAATACAGACATCCGAGCTTACCTAAAATATGTGCTAACTGTAGTCACGCCCATTCCTGCTGCCGCACAACTATGGAAGCTCCTCCAAACAATCCCTTTCTCTGTCATCCCACAAACGACTTCTGCATAAGTGTCTCTGTCTACGGCACCGTTGCATTCCCCTGAATCAGATATTCAGTTTGCATATGCGTGAATTTAATTTTGTCATAGCCTAATCAAATATTTTTGTTGTCCAGATATAACCAACTGAAGGAAGAATTTGTTGAATAATGAAACAATGGATCAGATGACGTACTCAGGTCTTTCAAAGGTGCATTATATGAAGATTACAATTGTCGTTTAAAAAGTTACATATAAGATCAATTTCTGTTGTAGGAAGTATTTGCACTTGAACAAACCGTATCCTAATTCATCGAGCACCACGAAGACTAGGCCCAGCACAGCCAATCTCCACAAGCGACTCATATCTTCGAGATGACTGAAATCGACAAAATTCACGTCCCTTAAACTGTTCGCCAAACATCAAACAAAAATATAACTCGGTCTTGTTTTTGTTGGAAATAACTGCAATTTTCTTTCACTAAATCCCGCTCGTACTTGACAGCCAGGTCTAATTCTGGGCTGGATTTATTTCCAGTCCTTGTTATCTTGGGGACCATTCCCAGTTCCTATCGCACTGTGGATCGATCTATTCCCAAGGGGATTCTCGTTAAATTGCAATCAACTTAACCGGCTTAGATGTCTTTCACGCCTACTGAAGTTGCTAGGGGATAATTAATCATCGTTTATCAGCTTCAGTAGGCGTGCCATCTAACCCACTTAAGCTGAAAGCTATTTAGCGAGAAACCTCTTGGAGATGGATCGATGCTGTTAGATCAATCTAGGTATATAGGAACCCAGTCTAGATCGTGACATCAAAGCAAACTAACGTGCCCTTTTAACGATACGTCTAAGGGGCAGGTCGAGAACGTTTATTTTAGCTGATATTTTTCTATTTTTAGTTCAGGTTGATTTCACCAATGTTTCGGGGACATGTCACATATTGCGCAGTAAAAAGAAATTTTAGAGATAGTTCAAATACAAGGAACAGACAAGGATAAAAGTACTCACCATGGCCAGTAACATTACATTTATTACATGTACGCATATTCTAGGCTGAATACATCGGCATGATTACGTCATTATATATTATACATTGGTGAAAATTTAGGTAAAAATTCCTACGCGTTGAAGACAGTTCAAAGATTTGTTTTGTATGTTATCCCACGCACTGTCCCTTGAAGGTGATGCGATGTCTAGCAATTATCTACGTGGCTTAAATATACTTAACACGGTTATCACCCTCCCCCCCCCACCCCCACTGCATGTTTTGTGCACATACGCTGAAGATTTTTATATATAATAAATAAAACATAAATTAACTGATAATGACAGGTCTTTTTTCTGATAGGAGCGGGCCCTTTACGTTAACGGTATAAAGGTAGGGCCAAAATAACAGTTTGATTAAGAGCGAACATTGTTCCGGTCAAAAGGACAGTCATCGAAGGCTTCTAACCGTGAACTACACACCGCTCAGACAGGCCGTAGCCGGCAATTTAAAAGGGGGTCGCTTGTTTTTAGACTAAGTAGACATTTAACCCTGAAAATTAATTCACTTAGAGCAATTTGCAAGCTGTATCCTGAGAGGATCTTTTTCCCAGGAAAAAGGTGGTGCGTTCCCCCCCCCCCCCC